TTTGTTACTGTGAGATTAAGTATACAAGATTAAGTACCATAACTGTGTTTGTATCTCCGCTTTTCTTTGTTATTGGCACAACTCAAACACTGATTTTGCATAAATAAACTTCTTTTCTACGATATTTTTAACTGTAAAATGACATATTTTTACTTCCATTTAATTCCTATATGGGTATTTAACTAAATGCTTCCCTTGTAAAATGCCGGCAAGTAAATTACAGTTCTTATATAACAGCTAATCGCAATTAAATTTAGGCCGAACACAGTTAGTACGAAGAACTAGAGCTTATATAAGTAGGAAAGGTTTTGTAATTATTCAGCTGGTATATGTATTTACCGAAAGAAAGAAACAATCTATACATTAATAACATGTATTTATAAGGCCCTGGTATAGATCTATGATATACTCATCTGCTTTCACAAGGCCTACTGTAATTTGACATTACAGCAGACCTATATATAAAGCTATTGTATTTATTATAGGTAGATAAAATATGCAACAGAGCCAGATGAAATTATATAGGCTTACAGGCGAAACATTGCATGTTTGTTTTTCATTGGCTTTTACCGTGCATGCATAATTTAAAGTTCTAAAACTAAAATCAATGGTAAGTTTTAACAGATTCCATAAGTTTGAATGCTACAGTCACACAGTGGAATTCTATACATAATTCACAATATCGTCTCTTTTATTGCCTATAATACAGTGTTATGATCTTTATAACATAGAAGGCATTTTAATACCAGCGCTTCGAAGCCGGATTTAGATTGGTGGATACTTCGAATCCACTCACCAAAAATTGATTTAATTAACCCCAAATTTGGTAACTCGACGATCCTAGCTAATTAATAAGTAAGATAATTCAGGCCGCTATTTAGAAAAGAAAACAGAAAAAAGAATGGAAGACACACACAACAACGACTGGAAGGATTAATAAAAGAGGAAAAAAAAACCGGAACGACCAACAGGCAATAAGATAAAACACGAATTGTCTTTCTTTAGGGGGGTTTACTGCGTGAGACTAACGTTAGATCGCGTGACTGGACGCTATCAGTTGGCGTGACACCGGCCGTTTCTGACCAGCACCAAAACACGACCGTTCGAGCGTGTGTGATGGTCTTTTCAGGTAACCCATTCTTGTACAGGAAACCTCTCCATTACGAGAATAGATATACGCGTGCCGCTGTATGTCACCACGCGATTACGACAGAAGTGCTTCGACGACTAGCTCGCTGATGTCTATCCGACACGAAAAGTATCCATCACTCTGTTACGTCTACTACTTACTTACCACACGGTTCGAAACACTCTTTCCTCGTATTCCCTTAATTATTTTCCACTAACAATTCAAAAAAAAGTCACTTCTTTAAACGATTAAAATATCGGTTACCTTGGGGGGGTGATCGTTAGTAACGCGCATTATTGACTGATTGTGTGACCTTAGCCGCATTCGCAACTCGTGCGAGTTCTATATTTGTCTTTGCAAGATTAAATTTAGTCATTTATACTCCTCTAAAGATTACGAAAGTAAGAACCGCCATTCAAACTTTCGAGAACAACTAATAAGTAAATTGGATACCGAATTTGAGGTGTTATAGCTTCAGAGCCTTGAAAAATTTGAATTAGGGCACCCCATGTACAGTGTTGAATTCAGACATTTTTCTTCCAGGGAAATATTCTGAAAGGTAAGGGGGGTAGAAGTGTTGTATACACGAAAATGTATGTGTTAAAAGGAAGAAATACTGTGTTAGACTATCGTGTTAAGTATTCGAATTTAGAGGTGAATATTCCAACATTCCTATCCTCTTACCTTTGAAACCCCTCGAGTCTTCTGTCGCTCTCAAGGGTGCTCCCACTTTAGGAATCACTGATGTAAAGGCTCGAAAACACTCGAAACTGTTAAAAATCAACTCGATGTTGTGTCCTTCTAGAGGGGAGGAGGCATTTTCTAAAATTTTGAGTTAATGATACATTTAATCAGGACTACGAGTGTATATATATCTCTACATACCTTCCATATTTATAACTATAAATATTTTAAAATTTACCTTCTGGAGGGGCATTTTACCCTCATTTACACGTAACCTGTTTACTCTTTCTTAAATTTAGTCACAGAGATTGAAAATAATTTGAAATTCGAGGGAGAAAAAAACATTATAAGCAAATGAATTAAGTTTAGAGATTTTTGATCGGCGGGGAGTCTTTTATGGCATCATCAATAAGTCGTTATTTCTTTAACACTTGTGTACTTTCAATCCGTCATAAATGACCTCGTAAAGAATCTTTGGACACAAAAAGGAACGAGTCACACAACCAATCATCATCCGTACGGACAACTATTCAATCGTCATCACGTGATAGTCGATGTCCTCGGTTAGAGGACCTCTCAACGCACTTAATGGAATGTCATAGGTTACATCCACGGGAGATGTCACGCAAATCGCCCATTAGCCGCTACTTTCTAATGTCCGCTACTGCCCATGTGCTTTGTCTATCCTTTCAGAAACTTTTCGTGTCTTTGGGGGGTTACCTATCATTTATTAATGACAGTATTAAGTGAAATCCTGTTAATAAATTCGAACGTCAATTTTTTATATATATTATTCTCCCTATTGTTGCGATTAAAAAAGCGATTTTTTAATTGTATTTTCGAAAATTTATAGACAATATTTAGTAAGATATAAGAAAAAAAACTACATTCGATCAAAAGGCTCGATAGGGCACACTTGGAAAAAGGTATAGCTCTTACGAGGGGTCAAAGGTGAACTGGTAGAAGCTATTGTTAAGAAACGAATAGATAATCAATGTCTTTACCGAACTACAAAAACTCATGGCAACTACGTAACATTTCCCTACTAACGATCCCCTATTCCACTTATCTTTGTATATCGATATTGAAAATCCCACTGCACTTATCAATAGTTATCTCACGATATCGATTCTTTTCCATTTATAATGGTTAGCAATCAATTCGACTCAAAAGAGACCTTCTAACCGTATTGCATTTTTATATCCGATAGAAAAATCGTTGGAAACTTATTTTCTGATAGTTTTATTAAAACATTTTGTTCTGTATTGCCCGTAATGGACCCTCTCTACCTTATAGTGTCTCCTTAATTGAACATTTGGAAGTATTTTTATAACATTAAGTCGTCTTAACTATTGTGGAGAGTCTGTATTGTGTGCTCGATACGGGGTTCTTGTAAGAATATTCGAGTGTATCCTTGAGTAGTGAATTCTTAATGGCTTCATACACACACAATTAAAGCCTGTAATTATATGTTTAGAGAGGGTGAAAAGTAAAAAGAAGGGGGAAAGGGACGAAATATAGCACGTGGTTTTGAGACTATCAAAAGACACCGATTCGAACAATTAAAACTTGTATGGTAGCAATTGTTTATAGTGTTTATTATACAAGTTGGAAGATTTTTAAACGATTTACACGCGTGTTATTGATGTATAAGTTTAAAATACGCACGTTTTAATGGCATTTAAATAAGGAAATGTCCCAAACTTATATAGAAAATGGTCAATTGTTTTGTATCGATGATGTACAAGAATTGTACCCGGCGTACAAAGTTAAAAATTGATTATTTCGACGAGAAGGAGTATCGTTTTTATTTGGTTTTTGTAGCAATAAACGCCTGTTTAACGATGTGTCAGTATCAACTATCGTCATTTTGCATAAGTGACTAAAGGATTATCGATCCCTTAACGAAAACAATACAAAATAGAGGTTAAGCGGACTTGTCTGAAATGTATTTATCTGGACGGAATCTTGATCCCCCTTTGTAACCAAGGTAACGGGAAAACAAAACACAACCCAGTTATTCCCTCCCTCCCCCGAATCTGTGCAGCTGTCACACAGCGAGACCTTCTTCCGCTCGTCCCGCTGATCACGTGATCGATAATGGGCAGCCCATCACGTGTCTAAGTGCAGATTCTTTAGAAATATATATATATATATATATATATATATTGACTTTCGGCTACCAATTTGGCTACCCGGAACAATTAATATCTATATTAACGTTAGAAAACAACCGAAAAACAAGACTTCCAAACAAACAAAGTTTTCACACTTTTCAATCGATATTTTGATAGTTTAAACGTACGAAACTTGATGTTTTCCACGTTAAAACATAAATTTTAGCTCTAAAAATCACTTTATAACTCATTTACAAAGCTTAAAACTTCCCACCCCCTCTCTCCCCCTAATCTTAATTGAAAAATATACAAGTTTAAAAGCTATAATTTTACCCTATTAAATTATTACAATTTTTTTTTTTTATAAATAAAATAATATAATGGTTGTAAAAATTTATGTAAAAACGCATTAAAGTAACGTTTTATTTTCTTGGTGAATTCACATAAATTAAGAACAGATGTTCAAATATGCAAATGAGAATGAGCCAGACTGTTTGAAGCTGCAGAGCTTTAATATCACTTCAATGTATTAATTTAAACCACCCCTCCCACCCTCCCTCCCCGTACGTTTTATACGTTTAATTATTCAAATTTTATATCAGAAAATTTACTGGAATTTCCTTTTATAACAGGCAAAACAAACAAAAACTCCTTTGCAAGCGTGAGACGTCGAGAGGAGAAGTTACATTTACAGGGATTTTTTAGGGGTTTTTTTTTAGGGGTTTTTTTTGTTTTAAATATTATTAAATAAAAGCGAAAAACTTTTTTTTTGGAACAAACAAAATATATTTTTATTGTTACAAATATAATCACGTGACTAGAACAATTTTACATATTTTTTTGTTTTTTAAATCGATAGGAATGATTGATAAAAACAATACAAAAATAAACGTCATACAAGCGAAGTGAATAAAATTTTCTTTTTTTTTTTTAAATATTACATTAATCTAGAAATAAAATTAATTAAAATTAGTGCAGAATTTTTGACTAGATTCATATAAAAAAATATAATCTCTTATTATAATGGTGCTTTTTGTATAGTTTTTTTTAATATATATCTTTGTATTGTTTTCACGAGGCTCAATTAATTTTTAAAATAATTTTAAAGCCTTTTTATATATATATAAACATATAATTCGTTTTGTAAGTGTTAATTCTTCTGTTTACTAAACTAATTGCGTATGTTTTTTAGTGTTATTCTTCTTTATTAAGAAGGTTTTAACACCATTCTTATAGAGCTTCTTAGAATTTTTGGAGAATTTGAAGCATTGTATAACTGTTTTAACCTCCTTATAATGAATTTTTCTACCCTTCTACCCTAACCTAAAAACGTTAAATTGTTGAAAATGTTCTGACGTTTAACGAAATTTAAATTGTTTTTTACGTATTACAAAATACTTTTTCGTGGAAATCTCAAGAAAATTAATCATTTTAAGCTTCTTCCTAATTAGAATTTCTAATTTTAAGAAAGTTTGGACCCTTTTTTATCCTACCATATTTGCCTAAATTAAACTATAATCTATGTTCGTAAATACCAAGGAGACGGTCTTAATTAAAGTTTGAGCCTCTAAGAATGTATTAGTTTCCTGAATTTAAATAGGGAATGACCCCTTCTAGAGACTTTTTCTATCCTTTAATATATAGAATCTGATAAAAAAAAAAATAAGAAAAATATCGTCTGTGTGATGCATAGACACGTCAACAATAACAGATCTTTTATCATATATTCACCTTTTTTTTGATTATATTAAACGTTGGTCCCCGTGTTAGATTCGACTATAGAAGACTAGAGAAGGTATTTTTTTTAAAAAAATATCGATCACAGTTCGAACTGACAGTTAAATTTGATCATTAGTGCAAGACTAGATCGGACTAGATTCGTCTGTACAGTACAAGATACCATTAAGCGCCATAAAAAAAAAAAATAGACAAAACTTAATAAAGCTGAGAAAAATGATATGACACTTACTGCAGGAAGCCGAAATTTTGCATCCTATAATATATATATTTATGTATATTTTTATATAGTTTTACGAAGCATCCCCCACGGATCCAGATTTGGGACGGATTCAGCCGCTTACTGCCAAAGATAGCATCAAGTGATGAGGACCATCTGCGGAGTGGAACTTTGCCACGTGGTGCATGAGTCCGGCGGTACTGGTAAATATGCTGGAACAGTAGGTACACGTCAGAAATTCGGTCATGGCGAAATGGCTGAGACAGTTAGGTTGCTGGAGATGGTGGTGCATCAGCGGGTGTTTCGGTCGCGGATCCACTTCGTGGCTCTGAAGGTGCTTCAGAAGATAGGCCTTCCTGCGGAATTTCTTGCCGCACCTATCGCAGTCGTACAGTTCTTCTTCCATTCTCTGAATTTTGGAAGGTGGGCTCAAACCGGGCGAGGAAGAATCGCAGATGCTATCCGAATCACTGTCCTTGTCGCGTGGCGATTTACAGTTCTGTCCGGTGGACGACGGTCTCGGTTTGTGCCACCTTCTGTGTGATGCTAAATTAGCCGGGCAGTTGAAGACCTTGTCACATTCGGGGCACCTGTACTCCACGTGGACGATCCTGGAGCATCGATGCTGCGCCAAACCGAAAGCATCGGCGAAGTGGTCCTTGCACAGTTGGCAAACGTAATCGCCGATTTTGTTCTCGATCTTTGCCAACTCGGCTCGTGCTTCCTCCGTCACGATGACCACGTTGAGGCTGGGATCGATGTCACCCCTCTTCATAGAGATGGGAAGATCGTCTTCGCTGTCCGAATCGCGTATGAAGGTCCCGGAAACCGGAGAGATTTTGTCGTCGTCGAATGTCAACTTTCGGTTGGCTCTCGACTTTTTTGGCTTGCTCTCCCCGCTGGAGGAACGTTTCTTGGACGTTTCCGTTGGTGCCACGATTTCGGGGGTCTCCTTAACATTTTTAGTCAGTTCTAACGGCTCTTCTTGATAAGCCAGAGGGCTGCAAACTGTTTGAGAATGTGGATAGATGGCTTCTGCGTTGCCTTCTTTGTCATCCCCCCACCAAGAAGGGCAGAATCCCTTGACGTATCGCTTAACCAGGAAACCTCTAGGCATATTGTCCCGTGTGTTGGTCGTTCATGGAGACCCGCCGAGCGACTGACAGAAGTGTGTGTGTGTGGATGGGACGGGATGTAACCGACGTCGTTTAGACTCCTCCCCACCGAACGGTGATTGGCAGTCAGCGCCATCGACTGTCGATTCATAGAACTATTGCCACATAATCCAATCTGACGTGTGGAGAACCCATGATACGATGCTCGTATTTTTTCCCCGCACCACCCGAAATTTTCGTGACGGAGTTGGATCATCCCCGTAATTTACATCAACCTTGACGTAATTATCGAGTTACCGTAATAAAATATCGTACGAAGGATAGAGAAGAGTGGGGCTTCCTGCGGGGTACCTCCGAGCCTGTAGGCACTGCAGGAAACAATAGCCAAGCAGTCTTTTATGCGGACCATATCACTCGAAAAAACCTCTAGCCTAGGGGAAAGTGACCATATAGAGTTATTGCGTCTGGTGTCCTACAGCTGTTGTTGCAGTTACATCGGATCCCCCGAAACACTCGACTCTCAAAATATACTCTAAAATGCTTAATTTTTCCCCCTATTTTAGGAATTTTGTAACATTTCAGCCATTATAATTCGTTGATATAAACATATTTCTGTACACTGCAGATGTTAAAACATGACATCACTTCGAACATAACTACGAGCTGAATAATCCCCCTTTGTCTATTGTTTACTCGAACTCTAATTTGATTGTTAAATATATATTGATAGATTTAGAATATTTAGAGCCACTCCTCTAGCAAAATTATCGAAGAAAAAATCTCTAATTTATTCTAATTTTAATTGTTTAAATTACATTTTGTACGTTCTTTACCCTTCACGACAATGATTATTTTTTTTAAAATTACAGTTTATATTCTCCAATTGTAAAGTATTAAATAGCTTTAAACGGATAAAATTACCTTTAAAATTCCCATTTATCGTCTTTACAATCAATTTTGGGGTGTAAATAACGAGTGATACCAAAAGTTTGATGGTATCGCTCGTAATTTCTGAACAAAAAATATGGAATTTTGATCAATTAACCGAAATTTCTCTCAATATTTTATTATTTAGAAGCATTTTAAATAATAATTTATCAACTTAAACATATATTTATCATATTTTTATGGTTATATTTTTTATTACTCTATACAAGTCGACCCCCCTATAACACTGTTGATTTTTCCGTTTTATATGAATTCCATGTTGTACGAGTCACTTAGATTTTACAAATACGTGTGCCGGGCTGTGAATGGCTCACGTATTTGTAAAATCTAAGTGACTCGTACAACAAGGAATTCATATAAAACTGAAAAATCAACAGTGTTATAGGGGGGTGGTCGACTGTATTTTAAATATAAAAAAAAATGTGCGAGATTTTTGGGTTAATTGTTTTTTTTTTTTTTTAAATAAATATAGAAATTCGTAATTAAATCGGTGTGAAATTTATATATTTTATAGAAGAAGTTAGTAGATTTGAGAGAAATTCAAACAGGTGAGATATAGAGAATGTACCTACTTTGAGCAGGTGTGACGAATCTTAATATAGAAATAACACAGGTGGACGGTTTTAAAATCAACCATCTCACCTACTATTAATGTGCAGAGTAAAAGCTGTATGGCGTGTAATTAATGCAATGCTTTACGATCCACCCCAAAGCAGAATCTCCGAAGTGTTTGCTTGCAAACATTAACGCGACGTTAATGACATTAACAACCATCTGTTTAGCTATCGCTGGTGCAAATATGAGCTGTAAATGTTTAATCTTCGTTTACTCGCAGATATTTCCATATTTCTCCTTCCTTTTATTTATTAAATAAATTAATAAATTTATTTATTTATTAAAGACAATTAAAGACAATTTATTAAAGACAATTGCGTGGGATCGTGTCGTATAAATTAATGATTTATGAAGGTTTTTTTTTTTAATTTTTAAGTATTATATACGTATATATAGACGTATAATCATTAACTAATCGTGTCGAACGTATCAAAAATTAGATATTTGAGTTTATTATTGTATTAGATCACGTACATCGCAGTCATTAGTCTGTTAATGAACACACAAAAAAACACAACGAAAACACAAATTAAAGCAATTTATCACGAAATATGTTATTTTTCTCACAAATTATCAATTTATTCCATTTCAAATTTTTATTTTTATTCCATAAATCGTCTCCTCTGTATCAAAGTCTAGCTCTAAATTAGGTATTTCGGGAGTACTTTTGGATCCTTTACCCAGAAAAGTGTTGAGATATTCGGGTTTTCCTGTATAAAAGAGGGAGAAATGGGATGCTTTCCCCCCGAATAGAGTAAAAGTTCGACAAATAATAAGATTAATACCACCCCCTCCCGACACGTCTGTCTTAATTCTTGCTTCCTTTACATTGTAAATGTATATACATTACGTTTGTGGTTGTGTGTTAATACTATATTGTATTCTATAACCTTTAGAGCTTAAGATTGCTTAGACAATTAACTAACTTGTCCAGCAACACAACAAAAATGTTGTTGATAGACTTTTTCGGCATTCTTTATTTGTTTTCATCCTTAATTGTTACCTTTATAAGCCTTCAGATTAGTTCGAGAGATATTAAGTTAGTAGGTCATATCTCCCGAAAAAATAGTCCGATTTTCCTGAAAATTTTAAGAAAAATTTCCCCCTAATACACGAATTTCCCTAAAAAATTTCATAAATTTTTAACAAAAGGCATTGGAGTTATCGAGGTTTAAAGTTGATAAAACCGAATCGTGCCCCCACACTACTCTTATACAGAAAGAACCTCTAACTTTTTTGCATTTCTGGACGTTTAAAGTGTCCAAAAGTATTTAAAAAATCTTAAAAAGGAATCATTTTTTATTTAGAGAAAACTTTAAGATATTTTTTAATAAATAGTAACGATTTAAATTTATAAAAATAAATTTTTATTACAATTTTTAGGAAAATATTGAAACACCTGCCGCGAATTATTTTGCTCGAAAATGTCTGCTACTGACTCAACAGATTCGTAATAAAGTTAAGTTTATATCTCTTTAAAAGAGCCATATGCCGTTCACTATCAAATATTTAAAATAGAAAAAAAGTGGCCTATAGGCTGCTTACTTCCAAATACATTTTAAAAGTTACTGTTTCGGAGGACAGACAAACGCACTAACGCTTTCGAAATTCAATTATGTATACACTGCTCCCCCCTTGTTACAACTTTCTTTTTTTTATTTTCGGAGACACGTGGCTGGGCAGTAACGGACTTCAGACGAGGAACAACGTCTTACCGGGAGGGCAGGTGACAATTAAGGGGGTCCACGCGACTCAACGGTCGAGTCCCGACCGTGGGAACCCGAAATTGGACCCCCTTCGGTGTACCACACTCCTGCCACGTGCCTGTACATGGCGCCTAGTGAATAGCTTTTCTCTTCTTCTCTTCATTACCATATACAGCTGTCGTCATAAGAGGGCCGTTATGCGGGAGCAGACGTGAGAACATCCAACCCCGCAGCTGCACATCTATCCTGGGAAACGTTCTTATGAACTCTACTGCTATATGCCACTGGATGTATACGAACGACAGCGTGTGTGTCTGTTTGTCTGTGTGGATCCTCTCGTCCACCTTTCACTTTCGGTTAGCTTAGTGGCCTAGCTCATTGTCTGTCAGACTTTAAACACCGTTTAATGGCATCTAAAAGTATTTTTTTATGTTGGAAAGATTATTTTTTAGGATTTTTTCTGTTTCTATTATTAAAATAAAGCAGCAATCAGCCCTCCTGTATACATTATACCCGAAGGTGTGGTTCAGATGTATACAGGCCTAAAACAATGTCATCTGTTATAATCATACGCGGTATACTTTGTATAAGATGCTTTACTACAAAACAGAGTAATTGCTTATCCCAGATGTTAACTAGTGTTTCATTTATTTTAAATAAGTGCTATTGTAAATATTACAGGTGTAGATGCAAGAAGTCTGTATAATTTTCACACTTTTTAATGTTTAAAGTCTATATATAATAGAATACAAATGTTCTCCTATATAAAGAGAATACGTTAAACTTTTTTATTATATTAAATTAATTAATATTTTTATTTCTAGATGCATTCCGCATATATAGAAGAATCTTTATTGTATCTTTTTGTCTTTTATATTGTAAATACAATAGAAAGTAAGCCTACATTTGATACTTTCCTTATTAGAATTCAAAGAAAAACCCTTTATTGTAACCTTAAAACCCACACAAATTAGTGTTATAAATCCTTACAATAAAGGTTTTTAATTAGAAATAAATGTTAAATCGATGTTTACACGAAAGCACACTAAAGAAGTGGCCGGTTGTAAACTATCGTAGACCTAAAAAGAAACAAATAAATAAAAAAAATTATTCAATTTTAGTCGAATAATGTTACGTAGCATGACATCTAACAGACTAACAATAGAGAACGGATCACGTGCCCAACCCCTATAGTGCAGTATCCTGTGTTGTCCAACATTCAAATCATTTGTTGATCCACAGGCGTTGCACCTCGCAACCAGCTGTTTTCCCAGATTCGACTGTTTATCTAACCTACAGCTGGATAGACATTATCGATATAAATTAAAGGAATGTAACGGCAAATAAATGCAATAATGATAATACACCACGTATACTTGACCCGAGTTGGCCCGAACCTTCTACGCAATAGAGTTCAGGAACTTTCCTCATTTGTACAGCCGTTTCTCTTCTCTATTCAAACACTTAAAAAAAATAAAATTGCTAACGCCATTATCGAATTTCGTATCTTCAAAACCCTCAAAAGACGTGCGATTCTTCACGTCTTTATTTATAACTTTTGAGCTTAAAAGCTCGTGTTTCTACGGTGTTTCTACGGTGTGCTACTTCAAAACTAGATCCTTCGAATCACCCTCAACCCTCCAGTAATACCACTCGACACCGATAGTCGCGTGTTCGCGCCACGCCAACACGTTTCTAACACTTAAATAGGGTCCACTCCCCCGTAGAAAATCCTCCTGGAACACTTAAATAGG